AATAGTAGTTTTCCTACGAGTTTGAAAAGTCTCTGTTTGCGAACCGAGAGGTTTGCGGCCCGAGCCGAAGGCGAGGGACGTAACGAGGTTCGTAAAGGAGACTTTTCGAACGAGTTCCGGAAAACTGCTTTTTCGCCCGAGGAAGTACCAGCCTCCCAAAACCACCCGAGGGCGGAAAATGTATTTTTCTAACCTGTCACAATCATCCCCAGGCATCGTCACAACCACCCCTGGGGTGTGGTCAGTTGTGACATATTTTTTTTTTTTCTAACAGCTTGTACGTGAAAATGAGTGTATGTGCAGTCATTATTTTTGTACACACATGTAAAAGAGTCCTTAATTTATCGCGCCTAGTAATTTTTATTCCACTGAATGTCATACTTTCAAAGTTACGGGCACTCAAGTAAAATTTGGCACAACCGTACCCAGTCTCCTCCTATGAATAGCATTTCAAGATGTTTTTGTAGAATTTAAATATAATTTAAAAAAAATGACGTGAAGTAAATTTAGTTACTTTTAAAGCAGCCTTTGTAAAATAAGATAAATCTTTTTTAAATTTTTGACAAAGCACTAAAAGACTTAAGTAATTATGGCTTGTCGTTAAGCTATGAATGGTTTATTTTGGAAGGCAATTTCAGGCAAACAGTTCCACTGATCAAGCATAAATGTAAAACCTCAATACTAAATAATTTTACAAATGACTTTTTCTTATAATAAAACTTTAGAATTAAATAATTAAAAAGGAATATGTGTGGCATTAATAAAGAATTTGCTACATTTTGATGAAAATTAAGAATGAGACAATAATATTATTCAATATTCTTGAGAAACGAAAAATTGATAACATTTCTAAAAAAATTTATGGAGATAAAGAGCGTATAAATAATAACCTCAACCAGGTTATTAAAACAACTAACAATGAATTATCTCACGTCTTATGCAACAAAATTCTAAGTGCAATCAAAGGCATCGAATATACGTATTAAAGTACAGATTTTGCTAACCATTGCACAATATAAAGGTAGTGATCGCACAGATGATAATATACATGTCAATTTTTCAATCAAAACTCTTAATAAAATATACTGAGGCTTACCACTACATATTTTAAATTGAATAGCAAGTGCAATTCTTACGTTAATAAGAGACTTAAGGATATTTGATGGTTTCTACATAAAACTAGACTTTAAACTACTTAGCAGAAATAATAACTAGAGAAAAATCTGGTCATAAGGTTTCCATACTAAGAATGACATGAAATATGGTAATAATTTATCTTTACTGCTTACATTATACAGAAAACAATTACTTTTGGTTCTCGCTTTTTTTATTATAGTTAATTAGTTACAGGGCCAAAGTCCTAACAACTTTGGATTTTACTGTAAAAGACACTTTTCCACGGTCTACTTTGTTTATTACTTGTAAGATGTAAGAATCCTAATAATAAATTTATGAAAAGTAATTCTAAGAATAAATCTACCATTTAAAATAGAGTACAGAAAAACATTTTTTTGTATTCAAAAATTAAAGAATCCTTTTTTTTATTTAACAGTTACAGCCAATCCTCAGACTAG